TATTCATCCAATAACTAAACATCTCCAAGTGCCGAACCAGGAGCCGGGCCTTGCGGACGACATGTACCTGTCCCTGTCCCTGTCCACGGTCTAGATAGGATAATTCTAACAATCAAAACACAACCCATAGTACCTGCCAGGGACCGGATATTTGTGTTTCTCCAAAGTTCACGTGCTGAAACCCTAACCGCAAAGGAAATGTCAGCTGGGAGGCGACCAGGCGGTGAGGGCGGAGACTTGTGGTGGATCGGAGCCCTTCTGAGGAGACCCCAGAGTGTTCCCTGCCCCTTCCGCCCTGCGAGGACACCGCAAGACCTCTGTGACGCAGAAGCAAGCCCTCACTCCACCACGCTGGTTCCCCGATCTCAGACTTCCGGCCTCCAGAACTGTGAGTGACACGTGGCTGCAGTTTACATACCAGCTGCAGTGCTTGTTATGGCAGCCTGAACACACTGAGGCACTATCTTAACAGCATGATCTGTAATGCTGTGTTTTACAAAATATCAGTCGAACATAATATAAACCTATACATATGCATCCCCTAAAATCTTTCTTTGTTCCCAGCAAGAAACCATTCCAGAAAATCATTCTAATTCATGAAAAGCCCCAGGCTTGGGTTCTTCACGTGTTCAGATGATACAGAGTGTCCAGTGGACACAGAACAGAAGGACTAAGGATAAATTGTGAAGGCTTCCACCTACGACAGCGCCTCTGAGGAAGCACGAGAGCAGAAATGAGAATTTTAAAAAATAAAGCAGAGAATACGATTATCAGAAATTCAAGGTACTTTCCATTACAAAAAGCCACGTTTCCTTGTCATCGTGATCACACTATTCCACTAAACCTTTAATGAAATCAAGTGTGACTCACTTGTTCAATTTTTCTCTCCGAAAAAAATAATACATTTTGCATCCTGTCGTTTTTAGAATTCGAAAAAAAGAATGCATCTTGCATCCTGTCGTTCTCAGCGAGTCTCAGGCCCACAGCATTTGTTAATGACATGCAGGGCGAGAAGACAAGCCCCATGGCAATGCATTAAATGGTCAGTCCAGAAAACAAGCTTTTCATGGGTAATTGAGGCCTCTTCCCAGTTAGGAAAAGTCCGACTTCGAACCCAAGCTGGAACTGGTGTCTTTCTATATCTCTGTGCAGAGTAGAGAGAGTGTCTATTTTTGTGCGATCCAGCAAAACCACATGGATCTTGCTGGATCATTCCATTTCTTCACTGCAGTACACCCCCAAATGAGGTTAAAATTACATGAGGAATTGAATTGTCATTTACCCTTCTGTTGCTAGGTCTTCGGATTTTATGCAATGACCCTCAGAATCTGCACTTAACTGGCATAAGCAAACCTAACCACCCACCTATATGCATGTTTGAGTCCACTGTAATATCCCAGGAAGCGCACGACCATAAAAATTCTCATCTTACTGTACGTCTCACCCTGATGGCTAAGTAAGCCCCAAACTATTGTCACATGATATTTTGTAGTCAGTGGCTACTTTTGATAGCAGAAAAACTGTCTTTTCTATGCCCCTACCCCAAGGCTTAAGTGGGCCTGGTGTCTCCTTGCAACCTCTGCCCAGCACGACGCCAAACTGTCCCCTGCCCCGCCCCGTAGACGTTTAATGTACAAGGCAGCAGCATCTGACCCATGCCGAGGACAGACGTGAGGGTCTGAAGATTTGCCCATAAATGTCCTCCGTGTGTTCGAGCAGGCCTCTGACAGCCACAGAAAAGCTGTCCTTTTCTCGAGGGCCACGTCTGTAAGGAAAAACAGCCCATAATCCTGGCGCCAAATCTCAGCGTCCCGCCCGAGCGGTGAATCCAAAGGATATCGAGGATGCGTTCCCGAAGGGGTCTCGGGTCTAATTAATAGCTGTCGACTGATGCCTTATGCAACTGGGAACTCCTCCACGCCCTCAGAAACAGGGCTTGAAACTCTCCAAATGTTTACCCTTCTGCATTAAAATTTTGCCCCTGGCTCTTCTGAATAACTTCTTTTGAAAAGCAACTTAAATCAGACACCTGAATAAGAAAATGAGGCTCATTGTCACTGTTTGTGGGACCCTTTCAGTCAAACCGTATTAGGCGGTAAACAAAGAGAAGCTTTTCTTCCTTCCTGTGCCTGGGGGGTCCAGCGGGGAAGGGAAGGAATGCATTTTGTAAACTCCAACATTGAAGGTCACGATTTCTGATCTGGCTAACATACCTAAGCCTGCATTTTGATCTCTGCTAAATTATCTTCCAACTCATAGACTGCTCCAGGCACCTCTGACATACTTTAATGCTGAAATGTAAATCAGACACCCCCACAAGCCACCTCCACTCTCTCGCATTGCCCTAAATTTGGACTTTACTTTTCTTGCTATGCTTGAAATGTTCTTTTCAATCACATGTCATCATCCCCCCACCCCCAAAAGCATTGTCACAGGGAATAAAGAAGACCTTGTGTTGTAAAGTCACCATTTTAAAGCCAGCTCCAGGCTCAGTACCCCGCTACTTGTTTTTCCATTTAAGGCTGGAGAGCAGAGGCCACCCCAGGGAGCTTGTGGTCCTTGGAGGGGCTCTCAGCCCAGCCTGGGCGTGCACTGGCCCACGGGGGTGGCTGTGAGCTTGGGAATTTTGCAGTGGGCACTGAAGCCTGATAGCTGGAATAGAAACTGTTTGCCCACCAGACTCAAATCCCGAAATCAGTGGAAAGTCACAAAATACTTTGCCTCGGCCGCTGCAGTAATCAGTTACACAGGTAAGAAAAGGATCAGCTGGAATCCATCCCTGTCTGAGCGTCATAAAAACGAGGAGCCACATACAGCTCATCCAACGAAAGGAAAGCCTGGGGACGAGGATGGGGAGATGCCGTTCTCTCCCCAGAAAGGAGCTTCTGTTCAACTTTATTAAATGTGTTAAGCAGATTTAAGTTTTAGTCCAAGGGCAAATTCCCATCCTCTAAGGAGCACACCCCCAGAAACTTGGACATCGGCCAAAGAGCTGGTCACCCAGCTGGTGGCCAGGGCGTGGGGGCTGCACGTGATGGGCAGGAACGGGAAGGGGGTGCTGGGCAGCAAAGGGAGGCAAAGAAACGGGGCGAAGATATTTTCTGATTTTATCATCATTAAAGGAACTCAGGCAGGGAGCTCTTGCAATCCCCTGCCAACTTGTCATGAAAGGCTGGGGGTGGGGCCGCGGCTGCAGAGCTGTCCTAATTACACATCCGGCAGAAATGAGGTTGTCACCCTCATCGTGGGGCGAGGTCTGGGACACGGTCTCTCCCCCAGAGGACCCACGGTTGAGCGAGCACCACGGCGCTGGGGCAGCGTGGAAAGCTCATGAGGACCACGCTGGGCAGGAAGATGCCCAGCAGCAGGCGGGGTGGCCGAGCCAGCGAGGGGGGCTGGCAGGGGGACCGCCACCCCGGAGGAACTCCTGGCAGCCACCTGATGGAAGAAAAGGGTCCCCAGGGCTCTATGGCTTCTAAGTCCTTCTTCTATGTGAAACTATTACGTTGTGTATGAAAAATCCACTGCATACAGCCATCCCTTCTTGTCGCAAGCAAAGCGAGGTGAGCTGACACAAGTACAGAAGCTTCTGGAATCTCTGCTGAATGCAGCAGAAAGCCCCCCACCCAAGCATGAGGGAAACAGAGGCCCGGTCCTCGCTGCTCCTCTCTATTTCAGAGCCCCCCTCCTTTTGCTCGCCTCCCCATCTTTCCCCTTCTCTGGAAGCCCCTGTTCGGGGAACCCCGCATGCATTCGCGTATCAACATCCACCTGGCGGTCTGCCGCCCAGCCTTGCAGCCCAAGTCCTGGCTCTGTCCTTCACCAGCGGTGGCTTTGAACCAGCTGACTTTGAACTTCTCCGTGCCTCTGTGTCCTCATCTGTCAAGTGGGAATGATACCAGCACCTGCCTCACAGAGTTGCTGGGAGGCTCGAATAGGGGGGAGCTCGGACTGTAAGAAGCCCAGCTCGGCCCCGAGGCCACCGGTCAGTGGGACCCGCCGTGCTGGTCGCGTCTGCCATCGGAGGGTTTCAGCCTTCCTCCCTCCTCCCCACACTCACCCCCTCCCTTGCTCAGGACCGCGGCTCCATCCCAAACCCCTTTCCTAAATTTTATTAGCCTTTGCCCACTCCTTCTTCCTGTCATGTTTATATCAAAAGTCACCCATCAGAGAGAGAGAAGCATCAAAGAGGCATTTTATTTCCAAAGTTGTTCATTTTACTCTAGACTTCTAAAAAAAAGATCACCCATTTGTCAGAGAGAAAAAAAAAAAAAGACAGAGAAGATAAAAGATCTTCAAAAGTCATTATTTAAGTGCCCACCAAAAGGACATGAAAACGGGCTGTCTCGGTTATGGAGTCACATCGGAGGTGGCCTTGCTCACCCCAGTCTGCCTCACTCAGAGGAAAGGAAGAGAAGATGGTTTTAACTGTAAAATGAGCCATCGGCTGCCCCCCGCCCACGCACACACACAGATGCTGCATAAACACATTCGAAGCAGCGACTTTCAGTTCAAACTTGTCATTCCTCCTCTGCCAGCGTCTCCCGGGTCTTGGAGCCACACACACGCAGACACACACATTTCTGTCACGGTTCCTATGATTTGCGTCCCCCTCGCCGGTGTCCCGATTAACCGCAGACGTAGTTTGCTCAGGCGGGCAAAGCCAGCCTCTCCACACCGCTCACTCTCCTGACTAACACCCAAAGCAGCCTCCAGAGTCGCAATTAAGTCAGAAGCACACAGGACAACCTTTTCTCTTTCTAAGGCAAATTAAAAAAAAAAAAAGTTGCAGACCGCACAAGTTTCTGGGCTTGCCCTGCAAACAAAGCCGCAGACAGCGGGGGTCCTCGAAGCTCACAGCCACAGGGCTGACGTGCACCCCCCGCGCCCCCCCCAACCCGGGCCACCAGAGAGAGACCAGCTTCACATTTCCCCAGCGGACTGTGCAGCGAGGGCCCTTCTCACCCCCGAGTTCCCGGCAGAGCAGAAGCGCCACTCACCTCGCTCATGATGCTCTGATCTAATCAGCCTCTCCGGTCCGCCACTCAGCACAGACAGCCCTGCTCAGGGGAGTCGCCACTCGGCCGGCCCTGGCTCTCCTCTTAAAAAGGGCTCCCGGTGGCATCGTGCCTCCCGCAAGCCAATGAGATTCATTCACCTGTCTGAACGCCTGGCGGAGATCTAAAAGCACAAAGGGCCACCTAGTGGAACAAAGGAAGGCGTGCTGGGTCCCTGCTCCAGATTGTCCGAGCCGGGAGGAACCGACAGATGGAAAAAAGAAAAAGCCGAAATCAGAGGGGCACAGACCGGCACAGGTTCGCCCTCGTTCACGCACCCGAGGGGCGCAGGATGGAAACCCATCTGCCCCGTCGGTGGAGAGCAGCTTTGTTTTGCAAAGGAAGGACCGCTCCGGAAGCCCTCTTGTGCTCCGTCCCGCATCCCTCCTTGTTTCCTAGGAATCTGCGGCACAAATCGCAGCCCTGAGAGGTGGGCGTTTTCACTCCTTCTCCCCGACCCTAAATCCTCCAGCCCGCTTGGACTCCAGGACCTCAGCAGGACAGAGACACGGGCTTGGAGAGTCGCAAAAGGAGAGGAGCTCTCCAGCTTCATCTGCAGCTGTCACACGATCTCACCCCCGTTGGGAAGACTCTGCTCTGACCTTGCAACATGCGAAAAGGTCTGGTCACCTCAACCTGTCCAGCCTCTCTGGGCAGAGGTTCTATCTGCTGGCCCAGTCCTGGGCCACTGAGACCCTGAGGCGTCCTCACGGCATCTGAGTGGACCTTGGCTTTCGCAAGGGAGATGCCGTGGGCTGGGGAACGTGGCCGATGCACAGAATTGAGATGCGTGTAGCTGCTTATCTTTGTGGCTCTGCCACTCGTCAGCTTCAACGAGTCCCAGAATCAAGGAACGTGACACCTCAGGACATAATGACAGTGTTATATCCTGGCAAACCTCCAAATAATAAGGAGCAGCCCCTCCGAAGGCAGGGACCTGCTGCAGATACGGACACTCCGTGTGACGGCTGCCACACGGTCCATGTGGATAAACAGATGGGAAACTGAGCAGCTGTTGTGACCCTCAGATGCCCACGGGGCCTTACCCAGCACCCCAGCGTGGAGAGACCGAGTCCCTAGCTGCACGTGGGGTCAGGGCGAAGCACGGTCTCGGCTGGGTGTCTTCCACTGGCTTCTGCACGGCCATTGCCCTGGTGGCCACACCTGGCCACTTCCACCTCCCAGGGACCCTCCCTCGTCACCCCATACCCCATGGGGCTGTCCTCCCGCTCCACGCCTTCCTGCTGCAGGCTACTTGTTCCCAGCGTCCACCCCACCTCTCCCCCCACCCCAACTATCATGGCAGTTTGAGTTCCCTCCCGTTCTTTCCTTATTATCCTTACTCACACCTGGGGAATAACCCACTGTGACTGCTCTGGGTAAGGTCCCAGGGTCCCCACTTGCAGCCACCCTCAGAGGGAAATGCCTCAGTGGAATCGGTGAATATCTGAGTCACCTACGGCTTAAACCGACCAGTTGGATCCACAGAAGCCACTTCCCTGGTTTGGGAGCAGGAAGTAGGACGTGCCGACCACAGGGCAGATGCAAAACAAGGTTCGCGCAAACGCCAATGGTGCTGCTTGACCCCGAGTCGGCATCTCCTTAAATTGTGTTCCCTGGGTGCCAACCTGTGCCACCCTGGTGCTGGCCCTGCCGGCAGCTCTCCGACTCCCAGGAGAGGGTGGACGAGCTTCGCCAAAGATGAAAGCACGGTGACAGGTGAGAGCGGGAACCTAGGGTGCCAGCAGGACGAGGCTGCGACACGGTCCAGCCGGATGCGCGCCTCGGGACCGGCCGGGCTGGAGAAGCAGCGGCTCCGCCTCCAGTGTGAGCACTCGATGTGGGAGTCCAGCCCTCCCCCAGGGTGGGCGATGGCTGGGGGCCCCGCTTTGTTCCTGGGACACCGAGCAATAACACTTTTCAAGAAGCCTGAGCGCTTGGGGACGGTGTTTTGGGGGAGGGGGTGCAGCAGGAAGGGAGACTCAAGGAAGGCTGGTGTCCTATTATCTGGCCAGACCTCAGGGGGAGTTAATATGTCTGCGGGAAGAGGCACGTGTCGGCTGACACCTTCCTCTCCCCACACGCCCCCTCCCCGACCTCTCTGCTGCCTGTGCAGGGACGGCCACTGCCACTGCACCTCACAGCACCCCACCGCACCCCCTGCGCCCCACCCTGGGCTGACCCTCTGCCCGCTGGCACTCAGCATCACTCACGATGGCTTCTTCCCCTTGACTTCTGGTCTTCCAGCCCCAGTCCCCACCACCACCACCACCTCAGAGCCACCTCAATGAGTGACTGAAAGGCCACACGTCCCCGGAGGGCACCAGAGAACACAGGCTGCCCGAGGAGGCCAGGGCCGGAGCCCTCATCTGTGCCACGTGAACATGAGCGAACACGGAGCAGCGGGACGCACCGGACTCCATGGGCTGCAGGAGCTGGTCTTTCTAACTTACAGCCACTTTGCGTAGGAATCTGTCTCTCGAAAGCCCCCTTTCAGTGGGAAGACGGGTAAGTTCATTATAATAACTCACATTTCACAGAGCAACAGAAATGAACTATAGATCTTGATATATACACACATATATATATATATTTAAATGTCCTGACCACACGAATTATTTGCAAACAAAGGACCCGCCCTCCGGCACCCCTGCCACCACCCTCCTCGCCCTCTCACCGCCCCCAGCCCCCCCTGCCCTGCCCTGCACGCTGGCGGAGCCCAGGCAGGCTGCATTCAGGGCTCCCGGTGGCCGGAATCAGGAGCAGGGACAGACGTAGTGTGGTCTCCACACATCCAAGAGCACAGAGCAGGGCTGGCTTCCCGCCTGAGGGGCAGAGCCACGCCCTCCCCAGGGGGCACCTGTCCAGCCAGGGACTTCGAGGACCCAGGGCTTGGAGGTGGAGGATGAAGCCTCCCACGCGCGGCCCTGACGAGGTCCGCGAGCGGTTTGCAGGCTGCGCTCAGGCAGAAGGGACGAGTGGAGGGGACGCAGAGGACCGGCTGTCTCTGTCGGTCCAGCTCAGCTGCAGATGTGGATTTTCTCCTAACACAGACGCACACATAGATTCGCAGCAGCGTGGGGTTTGGGGAACAGTGACGGTTGCTGGAGTGTCTGGGGTGGGGGCAGTGGGGGGAGGGGCAGGGTCGTTGGTGCCCAGGCTCAGCTGTGGCTTTGCTGCAGAGAGCGCAACCGTTGGGGACACGTCGGGGGCTTGGAAAGGCTGGAAGACAGGACGGATGACGCTATGGGCTGGACTGTGTCCCCCCAAGATCCACATACAGGCAAACCTCGTCTTACTGCATTTTGCTTTGTTGTACGTCACAGATACTATGTTTTGATCAACGCGGAGGCAAGACCCTCCACCAGCAAAAAGGATCATGGAAGGTTTCTGATGGTTAGCATCTCTCAGCAAGGAAGTATTTTTAATTAAGATATGTTCATTGATTTTTTAGATATAATGCCACTGCACACTCAGTAGACGACAGTATCATGCAAACGTCACTTCTATGTGGACTGGGAAATCCCAGAATTCACGTGACCTGCTTTACCATGATATCCACTTCATTGTGGTTGGCCTGGGGCTGAATCCGCAGTCTCTCGGATGCACACCTGTGTCGAGGTGCTAACCCCCCGGGACCTTGGAATGGGACTGCATTTGGAGACAGGGTCCTAATAGAGGTAACTAAGGTCAAAGGAGGTCCTACGGCTGGACCCTAATCCAAGAGGTCTGGGGTCTTTGAAAGAAGAGGACAGGGCTCGTTGCAGAAGGCAGAGCACGTGACGACGTGAAGATGGCGTCCACGGGCCTCGGGGAGAAGCCCCAGGAGAAATCCACCCTCGCCTCTGACGTCCAGCCCCCAGCTCCTGGAGCGCTGAGAAAACACAGTCCTGTCATCTGCGCCCCCAGCCTGTGGGACTTTGTTACCGCAGCTCGAGCGGACCGAGGCAGGTGACGTGGCAAGGGCTTGCCGGAGACTTTCAGGGAGGAACGGAAGGCGATTAGGGCAATGGAACCCTATGAGCTTCTCCAGGACACGTGCCTGAAACAGTCACCGCCCGTTCATGAGCGTGGAGCTGTGCCGGCCTCGGAGGGCAGCCGAGCTGCTGTGGGAATCGGGGCCCACGGCTATACGCGAGGTGTGTGCGGGGCGCTCCGTGTGGTCCCAGGTGCACCCCCCGCCCCCAGCGCTGAAAGCAACTTCCGTCCTGTCCCAACTCCCAGCCCCATCTGTTCCCTTGGGACAGCAGTGCCCCGGCACGACCAGCCGTCAGACCAAGAATCACGGGTTCACTGGACCTCGTCTCAGAATCCCGAGGGACAAGGATGAGTGGTTTTTAAGCCTTTCATGTGGTTCTGATAAGCGGTCAAGTTTAAGAATCATTGCTTGAAGTGGTGACAGGAAGGACGTGCGCGCGCGCGCGCGCACACACACACACACACACACATCACGTCTTCCAAACTTTCCAGGCTCCCTCCTGCTCTCTGCCCAGCCCCCTCCCAACCAAATTCCCTTTAGGATCCGTGCGGCCATTTGTCGACTCTTACCTGTGTCGCTAACATATGACCTTCTTCATATCAGCCAAACACCATATTACATGGTAGATGGAGTCGCAAACCAGAGCCAGCGCCTTAATCCTTGACGTGAGCAGTTTTTCGTGTGACCTTGGCAGAGTGTCTCCAATGCTCAGTGTCTCATTTCCTCCACTGGTAATACAGAAATAGTAAAACCTCACATGTGCCAACCTAAGCAAAAATATATACACTAAAGATACAGAGCTGGGATATAAATTTTGAAAGAACTTCAAGAGTATTGGATCTACAGCTTCATATATTAGATCTTGGGGAATGCTTCAGCCTTCCTGAATTAAAACGCCCACCTGCGGTTCCATAATTTATGAGAAAAAACAACATAACCTGGATAGATTATTCTCATCTTCTCGGAAGCGTGATTCTGCCTAAGGTGCAGAGTTGGAGCAGGCCATCTTTCAAAATCCTCTTTTGGGGTTACTTATGCGGACACTGCATATTGATGGCCTGAGGC